TGTCCTAGCTTCTTGTTTTGTTTTGATATGCCCAGATAGGCTGCTCATATGAGCTAGTTTGATTATTGGCACCTTTGAAGCTCTAATGTCCTGTCACCAGGTGGTTAGATCTGTAACTAGGTATGTGAGCTCAGGAGTCCACCCACTCCTCCTGTATGGATTCAGCTCAGGTGCCCAGGTAGTTAGCCACCAAGTGTGTGGTGTAGGCACTCACCTACAGTCCTAGACAGGGATGGGTGATTGGCGTAGGCACAGGCATCTAGTTTCAGCAGGGTGACACACTCTGAGCAACGCAGGGCTGTGATGACCACCCCTGAGTGTCCAGAAGGAAGGTGTGTTCCTGTTCCCTAGAGTATGTAGGTGGGTGGGTTTTGTAGCCAGACTATGAGCACACAGTGCTGCTGGCTGTAAGGTCTGGGGGGCACCTGTTATTCTTGGGCCCCTGTCACAGGTGGCTAGGTGGCGTAGGTGGAGCCACCAGTCCTCAGGCCCCTGAGGTGGGTAGGTGAAGACCCTGCTTAATGGGCAGAGCAGTGTGAAATGTTACGAACTGGCCACTTCACAGCTGAAACAGTTGAAGTTAGACTTCAGGTATATACCTTGTTGTACTGCGGTAATGAGGGCCCACATTGTTGAAATGGGCCCACCCAAGTCTACGCAGGAGGAAAGGCACTCAAAGTCCATGGATCCCTTATGCCTGTGCCTAGGCAAGGAGCTGTACCTATCCTGACTTCCTGGCTTAGGGAAGCTGGCAGTTTATTTTTTCCCCTGTTTGTTAATTTGTTCACTCTCCAAGACAGGGAGAAGGGCTCAGGGCGTGTGACAGATCCTACTTCCGGCCCAGGGGAGTCAGCAATTTCTGAAGCTGGTTCAGGACCCAGTGCAGAGCAGGGAGCAGGTAGGTAAATGGGAGAGAGTTTTTTCCCTAAGTGGCGTCTTTTTGATATGAGCAGTAGACTGGATGCCGGTACTTATCTTTCACTGATCAAGGGTTGCTTCTCACTGGTTCTGGGTGGCTGAGTAGACTGTCTCCTGCTTGATCTCTCCTGGTGTGGAAAATGCCCTCGAGCACCACTGCTTGCCTGCCTCATTGTGCATCCATGAGCTGATCAGGCCTGAAGGGCTCAGGCTTTCACAGGGTCAGGTATGGCAACTCCTCGCTGCTTCTGAACTGTCTCTTCCTCCCCCACCCACTCAGTCTGGTTCGTCAACTTTGCCTTTGATGTTCAGGGCTCCTAGTTTGTAATATATAATCGATTCACTTGTTTTTTCATGTCTTTGTTATAAGAGGGTCCACCGGAAGCATCTGACTACTCCACCATCTTGGCCCCCCAAAGAAGCAGTTTTGATAAAGTACTGGCAGGAGATACCTGATTGTCTTAATTATCTATTGCTGCTATAACAGAAATACCACAAGTGGATGGCTTCAACAAACAGAAGTTTACTCTCTCACAGTTCAGTATTTTAGAAATCTGAATTCAGTGTGTCAGCTCCAGGGGAAGCTGTGTCGGCTCTGAGGAAAGTCCTCATCATCAATCTTCCCCTGGTCTAGAAGCTTCTCAGGCACAGGCACCCCAGGTCCAAGGGATAAGCTCTGCTCCAGGCACGGCTTTCTTGGTGGTATGAGGTCCCTATGTCTCTCTGCTCGCTTCTCTCTTTTATATCTCAAAAAAGTTGGCTTAAGACGCAATATAGACTTGCAGATTGAGTCTCATCAACATAACTGCCACTAATCTCATCTCATAAACATCATAGAGATAGGATTTACAACACATAGGAAAATCACATCAGATGACAAAAGTGGACAATCACACAATATTGGAGATCATGGCCTGTCAAAAAGTTGACAGATATTTTGGGGGAACACAATTCAATCCACGACACTAAGAAGTTGAGGAGCATGAAATTATTTTGGTTCCAGGGAGCAACAAGAAAGCTCTGGGCAGAGAAGAAAACCAGGTTCTGCTCTTAGATTCTGTCTTCCTTACTTAACTGGGCTGCAGCTACTGGGGTGCTTCACTCAGATGAATGCAGTTCAACTTCTTTGCTGAATCAGCCCTTACCAGGATAATACGTACATTGGGAATTTCTTGAGAGGGTTTTGGCAATAGTTAAGCTGCCATAAAGCCAGGTATCTGGGGCAACTATACCTGTATTCACTGAGCTATGACACCCCCCCCCCAACTCCCACCAATTTGGCTCTCAAGCTGTTACTAGGCCTCAGCTTTGACTACTTCTGGATTGACATTTCTGTTTACTTGGTGGAATTAGACCCAGCTCTGAATCCTGACACCTGTTGTCCGAGGAATTGGCAGTTTGACTAGCTTTTGCTGTACTTCACTCAAGGGTCTGGATTCTCTCACAGGGGGTTATGGTCCAAAACAGCTGACCACCTACAAGGAAGATACTTCCCCCGCACCTGACTTCAATTTTTTTCACCATTCCCTAGATTTCTTGCTGCCGGCCCAAACCAAAGGATTGGTCCAGCTTGGAGATTAAATATCATTTCTCTTGCGCACAACATATTAACATAAAAGAACCCTTCCTCCAATTAATGTGATCTGTCACATGTGATCCTACCTGTCAGTCGTCCTAGCACGGTAATCCCTTGTCTTTTGTTCCGGATCATGAAACGTGTTTCTGAGGGTTTTCCTTGTTTAATAATTGTTTGGACACTCTTCTGTAGCTTACAGACCCTACCCTACTTCCAAAAAACAAAAAAATACAAAGCCATTGACGTCAAGTTGATTTTGACTCATAGTGACCCTATAGGACAGAAGAGACACCATAGGGTTTCCAAGGAGTGGCTGGTGGATTCGAACTGCTGACCTTTTGGTTAGCAGCCAGTTAGCAGCCAAACTCTTAACCACTGTGCGCCAGGACTTCCAAGGTACATAAAAACATGTACACACACAGACATGCACATACACACACACAACCTCTGATTTTAGGTAAACTTTTGATTCTTATGGGTTCCATAGCTTGAGATTGTCTTGGACCTACTGAAACTTCACCTTCTGGACTAAACTTTAACCATACTCTCCCAACCCCTTAAGCTGGGGACAGGGAATCAGACACAAACTTAAACTGTAATAATAGGAACCAACTGTCCAGATGAAGGGAAGTATCTCTTTGCAGTCTGTCTTGGGAAAAGACACACTGAACTGTGAATTCAATTTTGGGTGCATTTTAACCTAGGTGTCAATTCTCATAGTTCAAGTAACAATTACCATATAAAAAATCTGACAAACCCAGTACCTTAATTAGAAATAAATATTAAAAATATGTATCCTATAAAAAGATTATTTCTTAACTGTGAACTCTGATTGAGAAGGGGTTATGAGTAGACATACATAGAAAGTAATCAAAAAACACTTGAGATCAACTGATTTCTAATATTTATTCTAGGTCTTAAAGTCCTAGATCTTAAAAAGATTAAACTCTTCCTCTACTTCTCTCAGGTTATAATCACGTTTTCATACTTTTTATCTCCCACACATATTTATATAAAAAAATATATATTAACCATTCCATCTTCCTGAATTCAGACCTCTGGATCTAATTATCTGGGCCAGCTTCTATCTAACACACTCTTGACCAACCTAACAGCTGTCTGTTAAATGTCAGATCTCCACTTCTGAGAATCAATCAGTAGCTTTGGGGTCAGGCACATCTTTCCTCGAGGCATGGCTCTGTCATGTATTAACTGTGTGACCCTGGGCAAGTTATTAAACCTATATGAGCATCAACTTCCTCATTTGTAAAATAAGCCCACTAATGTCTACCTACCTTCATTCATTCAGCCAGTGTTTTCACTTGGGGAATGACTGAAGAAACTAAGGCGTGTTGCTGAAATAAGGAAAGTGGTATGGGGGAGATTCCCTTCCTAGTCTCTCCAAAGGGCAGCAGTCGATTCAAGGAGTAGAAAAAGCAAAAGACTGATTCCAGGACAGCAAGGAAGATCTTTGCAACATCTACAGCCACCTCACAGTGAGCAGAATGTCCTGTCCCATAAAATATTCCAAAAAGAGCCACTGGACCTCAGGTGAGAATTAGTGTTGAACAGATTCCTGCATTAGCAAGTAGGTTAAAAGGAATCAAAGCCTCCTTCCAACTTCATCAATGATTGCATAAGATGTGAATCAACTCAAGTTACATAGCTAAAATAATCTAGCTATTGAGAAGTGAGATTGTTCTAATATTACTTAGAAGTTTCCAGTTCTGATTTTCCTGCGTTGCTCTTTTTCATATAGTTCATGCTTCTGCCAGCACTTCCAAGAATCTCTTTTCTGCAGCAAGGAAATGTCCTTCGAAAAGCAGTAAATAATTAAATTAGTGATGATGAGCTGATAGTCTGATGCAAACAATTTCTGTGGCAGATTAAATGTGCTGAAGATTTAATGTTGTTAAATAAAATTCTAGTCAGGGATCAAATGCTGGGTAATCTGACAAAAAAAGATCATCACTTTTTCAGTGACTCTGTAACTAACACTTCCATTAGGTTATACACAGTCATAGGCAGAATAAAGGCCTCCCAAAGATGTCTACCCCAATCCCTAAAACCTGTGAATATATGAATTTACATGGCAAAAGGATTATCAGATAGGCCCAATCTAGTCACATGAATCTTTACAATCAGAACATCTGCCTCTTGTGGGTCCTCACTTTCAAAATGACAAAGAAAAGAAGGAATAACAGTAGTGCCAAAAAGGGCCACGGCCACGTGCAGCTCATTGGCTGCATGAACTATGCCCACCGCATGCCCAAGGAGAAGGCCATTAAAAGGTTTTTCATTGAAAACATAGTAGATGCCACAGCAGTCAGGGAAATTTCTGAAGCAAGTGTCTTCAACACCTGTGTTCTTCCCAAGCTATATGTGAAGCTATATTACTGCATGGATTGTGCCAATCACAGCAAGGTGACCAGGAACCATCCTCCTGAAGCCCAAAAGACTGAACACCTCCACTCTGATGTAGACCTGCAGGTGCTGTCCCACGACCTCCACCAAAGCCCTTGTAAAGATTTGAGTCCTTAAAGACTGAAGAAAAACTAATCTGAAAGAAAAGAAAATGGCAATTGTATTTAAAAAATTAAAAAAAATTAGAGATACTTTCCTGGCTATGGTTGAAGATTTGACAATTGAAGAAGGATCAGAGAGATGCAACTCTGCTGACTTTGAAAACAGTAGAAAAGGGCCATGAGTGAAGGAATGCAGGTGGCTTCTAAAAGTTGGAAAAGACAAGGAAATGGATTCTTTCCTGCAACTTCCAAAAAGGAACAGTCCTACCAATGCCTTGATTGTAGCACAGTGAGAACCATGCTGGACTTCTGACCTACTAAACTAAAAACAAAAACAAACAAAAAAAAACAAACAAAAAAACTCGTTGCTGTTGAGTCAATTCTGACTCATAGTGACCCTACAGACAGAGCATAACTGCCCCATAGGGTTTTCAAGGAGCAGCTGGTGTATTCGTACTGCTGATCTTGTGCTCAGCAGCTCTTAATCACTGCACCACCAAGGCCCCATTACTGAACTCAAGATAATAAGATTTTATTGTTTCAGCAGCTAAGTTTGTGAAAATTTGTTACAGCAGCAATAGAAAACTTATACACATATTAAGTAATCTTCTTACTTATGCTCTGCTTTCCAGTACAAATTCTGCCCAGAGGAAGAACATTGTATAAATTCTCTGTAAAAATGGCTTTTTAAATTTTAATAGTATTTTATCATGTAAGATTGCTGGATTATAGGTAAATATTCCCATTTAATAAATGAGGAAATTGTAATTAGATTGTAAAGTGTCTTGCCCAAGGTTGCAGAGCTGCTAGGCCACTAGTTGAGCTGGGATGTCAATTCTTGTTTCTGACTCCTCCAATCTTTTTTCTATGATACCAACACTGTCTTAAGCATCATTGCATATGACCCTCTGTTATGTATTAAACAGTGTCCCTGCAAATACGTGTTGTAATCCTAACCCCTATATTTGTGAATAAAGCTTTCTTTGCTATGTTAATGAGGCCATATCAATGTAGGGTGTGTCTTAAACCTAATCACTTTTGAGATATAAAAAGAGCAGATCAGATACAGAGAAAAGCAAGCACAAATGTGGGAAAAACAGATGCGATGCCACATTTTTGGAGATCCCCAAGGAACTAAGGAATGCAGTGGCTTGAGAAGCTGAGACAAGAACTTTCCCCTAGAGCAGATGAAGAGAGAGCCTTCCCCTAGAGCTGGTGCCCTGGATTTGGACTTATGGCCTTCTGTACTGTAAGAAAATAAATTCTAGTCTTTAAAACTATCCACTTGTGATATTTCTGTTACAGCAGCAGCACTCCAAAACTAAGACACCCTCATATCAACATTTTAAGACAGGAAGAATAGAGAAGATGCCATTACCTTTATTTTATGGATTCAGACACTCTTGTTGCAGAAGACTTAAGCGATCAACAGTAAAGCCAGGATGAGAACTTCTTACTTCTAACTTGTAATCCAGTGTTCTTTCTACTTTGTACAACCACCTGTAAGTTATAATGTATGCCCATGTATAAAACACACAAGTTATTTAGAAGAGAAAAGAGCATAGGATTCAGATGAAAACAAACTTAAATTTTAAACTTAGTGACTTAAAATAATTATTTAACCTCTTTAAACCTTAGTTTTCTCCTTTATAAAATATAAATAGTAATGCCTACTTGGCAAAATTGCTGAAAGGATTTAAGGGGAATATTTCATGTAAATGAAGCCCTGGCATATGTGCACATGTAGGTACAGTATGTCAATATCATGAGTATTTTGTGTTCTAATTCATAAACAAAGAGAATCCATGTATTTGGTCTGTTAAAAATCATTGAATCTTGGCTCCAATCAAATAGTAATAAATCCAATTTAAGAAAGAGTTAAGGAGGAAACAAGATGTTCCCTCCACTATTGCAGATGAATAAAACTGTAGTGGCTCATTGGCCTTCCTAAGCCCCAAAAGAAAACTTACATGAACGTGAAGATTGGATTTGGTCTTCTGGGCTTCTGTCTATTAGAGACCCAAGAAAAGATGAATTCTAACCTTAATGAACTTTTCTAAGAAAAATTGCCAGTCATGTTCAAATCTGTTCCAGATGAATGTGTCTCATAAAAATCTCTTCAAATTGAATCAAGTGCTCCCAAAATCGTGGGCAAATTCATTTTCACAATCATTTAAAAAAAATGAAATGATTTCACTTAATTGGAAATGGAACTTTCTCACGGCAGTGTAACAATCTGATTATTTGGTATATCCTTTACTTTCTTGGAATGAAGATTAGTAATAATGCATTACTTACAGCAATTTGAAGGAAAAAAAGGATATATTTCTTTGCTAAAATAATTCATCACACAGACTGTTATTTCAGATAATAAGAAGTGGAGAAAGCACTTTTTGAACAGTTATCAAAAACATTTATTTGTTATTCTATGATTTTCCTCTGAAATTAAAGGGAATTAGGAATACAGGGATTATTTTAGTTCCTTTGGTGTATGAAATCATGAAATGCAACAAGTGCTTTCCCACTAAATGTTGGGAATAGTACATTAAAATATACACATAGATCATGTCTACTAAGGAGTTCTTGAGTCCTTGTGTCTTCATGATATATATCCTTGTATCATGATGAGAATGAAAAGCTGTGTGACTGAAATGAACCCAAAAAAAAATCGAGAACTCTTAAAGTTAGATAGAAGCTTCAGCCCTTGTGGACTTTTCCACTTGGTCATCATTCAACTCAACATGCCTCCAACTGAACTCAACATCCCTGTCTCACTCCCCTCAACCTACTCTTCTGGTTTTTCCATTCTGAATGGTAACAACTCCACCTCTTCATCTGGTTTTGATCCTGGGAATTGGCATTACTCTTTCCCCCTCTCTCCTCACACTCAACAAAGCACTACATCCTGACAAGTCAGCCCCTAAATAGCCCTTATCTCCAAACAGAACACCACTACTCAAGTCCAGTCATGTGCCCTCTCTCACCTGGATACTAGAAATGATTTCTTAGCTAATTCCCTACTTTCTGCTCTCACTTCCTTCTTCCTCACTGGCACCTAGTTTCTAAAATATCACTCCTAACACAGCCCGGTTCAAAAAGTTTTCCTATCTCTCCTCCCCCTATAGGGTGAAGGCCACACTCCTTAGCATGGCATAAAAGGCACTCCTTGTTCAAATCCTTCACAAAGGCCTTATCTATTATTGTCTACAAGTGCCATACATTTGGCCATTCTGAACTACTCAAGGTTCGACTCAGATGTGACATGCTCTTCCACACCTCTGAACCTTTACATCTACCGTCTCTACCAACTGAAATGACCTCCCCCAATCTATCAGCTAATAAAATCCTATTTTTCCTTTAAAAAACTCTCTTCGAATGTTCAACAGATGAATGGATAAACAAAATGTGATGTATCCATACGGCGGAACGTTCTTCAGCCATAAAGAGAAATGAAGTTCTGATACATGCTACAACTTAGTTGAACCCTGAAAGGTCACAAAAGGACAAAATACTGTATGATATTACCAAAATATCTAGAATATGCAAATGCATAGAGATCAAAGTTTAATAGTGGTTAACAAGGTGGAAGGGAACAGGAAAGGGGAAGTTATTATTTAGAAAACATCGAGTTGAAAAACTGGTGCCCTTTGTCATGAAGCTCACACACATTGATGATGGGAAATTTGGCAATGAATATTGATGATGGCTACCACAATGTTATTGATGTAAATGGTGTCACTGAATTGTACAAATTAAAAACATTGAACTGACAAATATTGTGTTATCTATGTTTTTACAGCAGTTTTAAAAAAAAGATTCTTTTCAGCTGTCCTTCCCTAAGAACCTCCCCCTGACTGCCCCAAATAGGCACTCTTTTCTCTCCCTGTACAGCATCCATTACACTGTATTATAACTTTACTTGTCTGTCTTCCTCATTAAATGACAAGCTCCTTAAGAGCAGGCGTATGTTCTTGTTCATCATAGTGTGTGGCATGTGGCTAAACATTCAATAAATGCTTTCTTGGTGTTATGGATTGAATTGTGTCTCAGCAAAAATATGGGCTGTAAATCCTAACTCTATGCCTGTGATTATAATCCCATTTGGGAATGGGTTGTCTTTGCTATGTTAATGAGACAGGATTAGTGTACGGTGTGTTTTGAGTCAATGTCTTTTGAGATATAATAGTGATTAAACAAACAAGCGAGCAAGTAGAGATGGGGGAAGAGAGATGCCAAGCCACATGAAGATTGCCCAGGAGCAGAAGATCAAAGAGACAAGGACTTTCCCCCAGAGCCAACAGAGAAAGTCTTCCCTTAGATCCGGCACCCTGAATTCAGACTTCTAGCCTTCTAAACTGTGAGAAGATAAACTTCTGTTTGTTAAAGCCACTCACTTGTGGTATTTGTGTTATAGCAGTATTAGATAACTAAGACACTGGGTCAGTGAATGAATCTAGTCTAGCATTCTCATTTTTCAAATGAGATAATTTAGATCCAAAGAGGTTAATCAACTTGCCCAAGGCCACATAGCTGGACAATAGAAGAGCCAATAAAGACAATAAAAGCTGTGATGTCCACAGCCTCCAGATTCCAGCCTCATAATTACTGTTGTGCATCCAACTGCCTTCGTATTTGAAATAATCATGTCATATAGCAACACCTTTCCCTGAATTTCCCGTCTGTATTAGTGGACTTTTATTTTTGGTTTATCCTGCTTTTTTAATATTAACACCTTGATTTTCCCTTGGAATACTACCCCTTATGTATTCCCAGTGCCTGCTGTTAGAATGAAGAGTCCCTGGATCGTGCAAATGGTTAAGCACTGAGCTACTAACTGAAAACTTGGGGATGCAAATCCACTCAGGGGTACCTCAAAAGAAAGATCTGGCAATCCACTTCCAAAAGGTCACAGCCATTGAACACTCTGTATAGCACAATTCTACTCTGAAACACCTGGGGTCTCCGTAAGTCAGAATTGACTCAATAGCAACCGATTTGGTAATTAGAATGGGGAAGGCCATGTGATCTGACTTCAGGAGAAGACAAGAGATCCCAAGCTGCCAAATGAGGGTGCTGCATTCCCTGGGCCAGAGACAATGAGTGTTAGCTCCAGGACTTGTTAGAACTAC